AATCCTCTATCACGTAATAGATTTTCATATATTCATAGAGGTTTGGGAATTATTGAAACATTTGAAGTATGTGGCTAAATTGAATTCATGTTAAATGTTCTTGTATGATTCTTTGTGCATAATTTGTTGGAATTTATATATATTTTAGTCAAATGATTATACTTTTGTTATTTCATCACTCATGCTTTGATTATTATTTTACCATAAATATGATGATTAACCTCTTATTTAAACCCGTATATATTTTGAATCTTGTGCTTATTTGAGATGGAATATATTACTATTTTCTATGGTTGATTTAAAGTTTTGACTTTAAGTAATATTTTTCCTCTCATATGTACTACCTTTTTGCTTATACTGAAATGAGAAATTGGGTAAGATAGATTTGAAAAACATTGAAAATGGAGAATCTTTTATTGTTTCTTATGGTCGTTTTTTGATCTTAAATGCTATACGTTTTTGCTTATGCCACAATGGAAAATTGAGTAAGATGATTATGCATGCTTTGAATATGAAAATATAATATGCTTGGAATATATGAAAAAGAAGGAAAGAGGGAAAGTCATTTATATGTTTTGAATGTATGTTTATTGATTTGTAAAAGATAAGTGGAATATAAATTCTATAATAAATTTATAATGTATATTATTTTATCAATATGATATCAATTGTTCAATCTTACTTTACAAATCATTTTGTTTGTCATAATCAAAAAAGAGAAATTGTTGATCCACACTTGATTTCATCCTTAATGTTTTGATCATAATAAACAAGATTAATATTATTTTTAACAATTGATTTTGAGTGATGATAGTTCAATGTTAAAATCAATTAAGCATTGCCAAAATCAACACATTATAAATCGGACTCGAAATGAAGATCAAAGTGGAAGTTAAGCATTCAAATCATATTATTCAAGACGAGAGTTTAAAAGTCAAAAGTCACGAAAAACCAAGATCAAGAGTATAAGAGATGACATCCAAGAAAGATCAAGACGAGAAGTTTAAGAAACAAAGTTTGAAGCAAGGTCAAAAACTACACTTCTTAGTTCAAATATAAATGTACTAATACTTTGATATTTATTAATGTATGATAAAAGTTCAAAAATTGTTGTATGTACGAAAAGATAATTTCATAAAAACACTTACATAAATGTAAGTATTTTGATTTGATATTTAAACTTTTTATAATGTTACTTAC